AAAAAAAAAAAAAAAAGCCAGTGTTAATTCATAAGGTAAAAATGTCATAGGAAAAATATACTGTAATACTGGAATGCATTCACAATAGCTAAACATATTCCTATACATTTAGGGAATGACACAACAGATTCTCAAGTTATTTATGTAAAATAAAATTAACTGGAAGGACGTTCTGCTAATCAATAAAATATATATAGCCGGGGTAAGATTACACATTTGTGGATATGGTGTTCTAAAAAGTATCACTTCCTTAAAAGATGATTTGGCCTGACCCTTCCACATTTTGCATTACAATAGATTCAGATCAAATGTCTCAGGAAGATAGGGGATAACTTAAGTTTTACTCCTGATAAATGAAAGCTAAGTAGAAAATAAAACACTCATTAAATAATGATCTAGTATGCCAAATTCAAATAAAATTAAAGGAGATTTTTTAAAAATCTAAGTCAGCTCCTTACAATTACTGTGTAACTTTCTGTGTGACTCAAGTAACTGAGTACTTATCAATCCTCTTGTCAATGACAAAACACTAATAGAAAGGACATACTACATCTGGAAAATTCCACAACTCAGTGTTATTCTACACTGTCCCTTTCTCTATTATATTAACCCAACTTCCCATTTTTAAAGTGTAATCACAGTGGCTACATATCTGTCACTTTGGGCAGAGGCAAATGGTTGTTGTCAGGATAAGACAAAAATAATCTGTTACAGAATATCATTATGCATTTAATTTACAGACTAAAATTTAGTGATTAAAATGGGTAATTATTAAAATGGAGATATTTGGAAAGGATAAATTTGAATTACCTATGTAAACTATTTCCTTAGAAACACAATATTGTATTAATTATACAGAATTCATCATCATCAGTCAGGACTTCATACCTTGATCTGATTGAAAAAGAGTTTGCTGAAGTACTTGCTTCTCCTTTAAGTGGTTCTTCATGGGTCCAAAATTCATTCTTTATAGACCTCTTCTATAAAATAAATATATGCATATATAAACATTTATCTTTTGCTTTACGGTTTGGGGATTTTTTTTTTCTTGGAGTAGCAACACTTTACAATATTCCCTAATACGTATCTGAATTTAATTAAATAATCAACTAACTGCATGGATTTCTGAGTAAAAAAAAACTTATATTAATAACTTCTGACACATTTTCATTTTATTTAAATCACTAGCTAATCAATTTAGAATAAAAGATGTTAAATAACAAAATTTATGTACCTCTACTACTCTGCTATACTTTTTACACTTTAACAAGACCAAGAAATAAAACAGAAAACGGTATAAGCATTGGAAAAGAAAGCCTAAGTGATAAACGGAATAACTAAAATATATAAACAATTAGATGTCTGCAAACTTAGGACTGGTGTATTTGGATGTAAATCAAAGTAAAATCTGAGGGCTTTTATTTTCTTCTTGTTTTTGTAAGGGAGTTTATCTTTTAGCAAATTAAAAAATCCAATATCTTCTATTCCTAAACTCAAAATGAAAATATGATTTAAAGATAGAAATCTAAAGGTACATACAGCTTTATCATAGTTTTACTGAACAGAAATTTTATTGTCTGGAAATTTCCTTTTTTGATGTAATGCATTCTTTAAACAGGCTGCAGCAAAATGAAACGGTACATATAGGCGGCAGTAATAACTGATTATGGAAAAAAAAATGTATGAAACTAACCTTGGAATTCTCTAGTCTCTGGAAGAGAAAGGTCTCTCCATAAGGAAAGATGGAAGATGAATTCTCCTCGTTTGAATCTTTTGAGGGAATTACAGGATGAGAATGGAAAAGGAATAATATGAAATTATGCAAAAAAGAAAACAAAAGCATGTTTTAAATTATTTTATAGCAATTCACAACAAGGTTTATTTTGTGAGAGTCAAAAATGCTCATAATTCTTACCCCCCAAACTTCCTCACTGCATGGTAGTCTTAACACAATTCACTTAACCCATTCATTTCATAACCATGCCACTTAAATTATAACCCGTCACATATATGTATAAGCCTACCCTTTAAGATTCTCATAAATATAACCAAAAACTTTGCCTATACAGAACAGAAATTGCCATGGTGTTATGTGTAGTAGTAATTTCTAAATAAGAAAATACTCTAAAAGGTAAGATCTTTTAATTCTATTATGATGTTCAATGAATAGTTATACAGTTTAGTATAAGCAGAATCTTCAAAAAGAAAGAAAAACCTCTCCCAGATCTATTTACCAGAGCACAATGTCAGTCTTTTCTTGTTACCATGGCAAAACCACTTCCTATATTATCTTTGCCCTGTAGCTCAGATGGCGAGAAAGCATTTAATTTAGATAAATGCCCTCCACTGTGGCTAATGACAAATGGAGCCTGTATTAAAACTTTTTGTACATAAGCAAAAGAAAATTTCAAGGGTTTTTAGTATCCTTAGTGCCCTTTATTCACTTGCCTTTAAAAGTATCTGAGAACTATGAAAACCTACTGAATATTATTCCCATCATTTCCTACAGCACTGGTGGGCTGCCTTTTCAGTCCCAGTTTTAACATAGTTTTAAGACTATCAAATGCCAGCTAACTAATTCACAGAAACTCTCAACACACAGACTCACTTGGCAGTGTCACAGATTTTCCATCTGAGGTAGTAACAGTTCTCTCACGGAAGTAGCTTAAAGTAAAGGGAAAAGTTATGTTATTATTTATTAAGCAAAGGATGTATTCTAGATATACATATTCTTGTAAGAAGAGATACCAATATCAAAATATAAGTCTGATTTGAAAAAAAAAAAAAAGAATGACAAAATTCCACAAGTGTGTTTTTTCATATAGCCTCCAAGGAAGAGATTTCATTGGGATTTACAAGTATTTGCTTCTCATATCTGTAATTTACAAAAGTAGATGAATGTATTTGTCCAATATTAGCATTTACATAATTTCAAAACTGTTACCCATACCTCTAAGAGGAACAAACTGATTAACTACCTTGCCATTATTTCTATAGTTTTCTGTCATTAGCTTCAAAAATACATCTGGTGCTGTGAACATAATTTAAAAAAAAACACCCACTATCTTCTTTCCAAGATGTTACAGTCGTGGGTGATAGACATTACAGGTAATTAATAAGACTGTAAGTATAAAAGCAATTACAGAGGTAAACACTGTGGGAGAAATGAGTAAGGAATATCTATTAATACATCAGTTCTATTTTTTTGTCTACCCAAGGTGAAAGATCAGAACATCCTTAACTTCTCTTAGGTATATTTCTATTTCCTCAAGTAATACGATACTGAAAAATAATAAAAGAGCAGAAATCAATAAAATAGAATATGGCCAAAACATACAACTACTTATAACCAAAAGACTGCTGCTTCAAAGATCAAAAAAACTGGCTAACTTCAGTAAAGAAAATTATAAGAAAGACAGAAGATAAAAATCACCAATATCAGAAACAAAAGAGAGGACATCACTTCAAATCCTAAAGGGGGTAATAATGGACCTGCAGTAGAGAGGTGAAAATTAATTACTAAGAAAAACTTGGTCAACAAAGTGAAAACAAATATTGGATGACATGCACGAATAAAACTGAGACTCAATCAAATGTGACAACATTAAACAGAAAATCTTACTGGCCCTGTTTCTATTAGAGAAATTGAATTTACTAATTAACCACCTACTCACAAAAAGCTCCAGGTTACAAAATTCACTGGTGAATGAATGCCAAGCAATATTTTAAAAAGAAACATCTATCCTATGCAAAGTTTTGTGGGAAGTAGGATGGAAGACAAGTTCCCTGATTAACTTCTATAACTGATAACCAAATCAGGGAAAAACATAACTGTGGCTAAACGTTTAGATAAACATATTAGCAAATAAAGTCACAAAATAATAATATATCATAACCAGGTTACCCTAAGAAAGCAATGTTAGCTTAACACTGAAAAAATTAATGTAATTCATCATATTATCGACATGAAAGATAAAATTAACCTGTGTATAGCTGGGCATGGTGGCAGCAAATGCCCGCAATTCCAGTACTCTGGGAGGCTGAGGCAGGAGTATGACAAATTGAAAGCACAGCCTGGGCAGTTTAGCAAGTTGGAGAGATTTTGTTTCAAAATAATAACAAAACAAGAGGTCTGGGATAGCTCTGTGCAAAGGTCCTGCAGCTAATCCCCAGGACTGAAAAATAACAACAGCAAAATATGGTCATGACTACAGATTCGGGAAAAATATAACAAACTTCAACATCTATTCAGGACAAAGATTCGTAGCAAACTATGAAGAGAAAGAAATTTCTTTAATTAACAAATGGCAATAATGGGCCAGGGATTTAGATCAATGATTCCACCACCTGCCTTGAAAGCACAAGGACCCAAGTTTGATACCTGGTACTAAAAAAGAAGTCAATCACAAGAGACCTTCAGTATACCTAATATTTAAAGACTAAGTGGTTTCCCTAAGACTGAGAACAAGATAAGGAAATCTGCTTTCACCATCTGTGTTCACATGGTCACAGAGGTCCCAGCATAGGCAATAAGTAAAGGATATAAAAGGCATGCAGACTGTAAAGGATGTATGCTGAAGAGACCTGGTAACTTGTAAAAACAACAACAATGAAAAAAACTTATGAATCCAGCAAAATATTCTCAAACTAATAAGTAAATCTGTCAAGGTCCTAGGATAAAGCAGAAATACAAATAAAATAATAGCAATAAGCAACTGGAAAAAATAATTCCAAAATATAATTTTATTCATAATAGCATCAAAGCATTAAATACTAATTGGTAAATTCACCAAAATTTGATGAAGATCTACAAACTCAAAATTATAAGGGATTACTAAGAAAAAAATTAAATCAAATAGATATACAATATTAATAGGCTGGAAAGCTCTATGTTGCCAAGATACCCATTCTCCCATACTGATATACGTAGATTGTATGCAACTCTAAACATTATTCCAGTAGGCTTTTTAAAGAGAAATTAACAAAGTGACTTCAAAATTTACATTCAAATACAAATAACTAGAATAGTCAAAACAACTTTAAAAAGAGCAAAAAAAATGGAACAGAGACATAAATATTTAGTCTACAACTACAGTAATCAAATCAGTTTATTTTTATTGTTGTTATTTTGTTTTTCTTTTGTGCCAGAAACTGTTCAGTGTTTTTTTTTTCCTTAATGAGTTTATTGGCACATTTTAGGTATACAGTACAGTTACATTCATTATTGGGATCCTGTACCTATACAGGACAGGTCTTGGTTCTCATTTTTTCCCCTTGTCCCTGCCCTCCTTTCACCACCTCCTCCCCTCTCCATTTACAAACACTTTTATTTCCATTTTTTCATTTTGTCGTATTATTCTCTTTTACCTTATTAGCTTTCCCCTACCCTTCCCACTTTCCCTACACCTTTAGCCCCTTTCTTCCTATTTCACATTGTCCATTATATCATTAGGATCTTATGTACTATTATAGTTTATTCACACCAGAGAAACTATTCGGTATTTACATATGTTTATTATAGATGAAAAGAAAGACATGTAAATCAAATCAATGTGATGAAGTAGATAGTCTGCATGTAACAAAAACTACCCAGGTTTAAAAAAAACTATTTTAAAAATCCAAATTAACAATACATATAAAAATACGAGTGAATTTCAAAATCATCACATTGGAAAGAAGCCAAATCCTGTATGTGAAAAGGATATTAAAAAAAACACCAGGCAACTTTCAGATATTACCAAATTGCCATTTCTTGATTGTGACAAAAATTTTATGGGCTTACACATCCTTTTTTAACCCATAAAGATATATCTTAAAGTTTATAATTTATTTAATGTATGTTAAACTTCAAGTCACTTAAAATGAATATAACAAATTTACTGCTCTAGGGTTGACATATAAAATATTAACTCTATTCTTAAATATAAGAACAGAAAATAAAACATTGTAAGTGATATCATTTATTAGAGCATCAAAATATTTCCAGAAGAAATAAATGGAAGAAAAAATTTGCAAGAGCTCGCCTAGAAAACTATAAAATATTACCAGAACAGAAAATCTAATTAAATACAGGACTGTGCCAAATACTGAATATTACAAAAATGACAAACCTGATTATATTAATCTCTAAAATGTACTACATCCCCAAGCCAAATAATTAAAGAGTGAGTGTGCATGAATGCATTTGTGTGTAATCTCATGAACTGATTCTAAAATGCATACGAGAAACACAGGACCAAGGTTAACAAAGACATTTGCAGAAGACAGAGGGAAGATGTACTCTATAAAATATAAGGATTTATTTTAAAGCTATAGTAGTTAAGATTATTATATTACTTATTAAAAAATAGATAATAGATTACCAAAGTAAAATGAATAGCTCCTAAAGACAGTCCATTGTCACTTAAGAAAATATGCCATTCCATAGCAATGAGTAAACTATGGTAGATCACTTGTGAATGAGATCACTCATGTGTCTATATGGAAGAAAATGAAATTTTACTTCTACCTCACCATGCACAGAAATCAATATAAAAGGCAGATTATAAGACCCAGTGTAAACAGCCAACAAAAAAGCTAAGGAATATAAGTATTTTCATGACTCTAAAGGCAAAAACAATTTTAACCTTAGGAGAAAAAATGTTAAATTTGACTAAATTACTAAAATTAAGAACTTTTATTAAGTTCTAAGGAACACAAGCAATGTAAAGCCAGGAACAAGACTTATTGGTCAAAGGTTCATATCCCACAGTGTATCAATAATTTAAAAATCATAATGAAAGACAGAAAATGGAATGCAAAACCACCACCGAAATGAAACCAAATGGGTAGAAGATTTGCAAAGGCATCATGCTCATCAAGATGAAAACATGGCCAGTGGCCAATAAACACATTAAAAGATACTCAATTACATTAGTCATTTAAAAATACAAATTAAAATCATACCCACAGTGTATCAATAATTTAAAAATCATAATGAAAGACAGAAAATGGAATGCAAAACCACCACCGAAATGAAACCAAATGGGTAGAAGATTTGCAAAGGCATCATGCTCATCAAGATGAAAACATGGCCAGTGGCCAATAAACACATTAAAAGATACTCAATTACATTAGTCATTTAAAAATACAAATTAAAATCATAATGAAAGACAGAAAATGGAATGCAAAACCACCACCGAAATGAAACCAAATGGGTAGAAGATTTGCAAAGGCATCATGCTCATCAAGATGAAAACATGGCCAGTGGCCAATAAACACATTAAAATACTCAATTACTCATTAAAAGATACTCAATTACATTAGTCATTTAAAAATACAAATTAAAATCATAATGGGGAGGGCAGGGGTAAGGGGAAAAAATGAGAATCAAGACTTGTCATGTAGAGGTACAAGATCCCAACAATGAATGTAACTGTACTGTATCCCTCAAATGTACCAATAAACTTAATTAAAGCTGAAAAAAAATCATAATGAAATACCACTACATATGTACCTAGATGGCTATGATCTTTGAATAATCAACTGCTGCTCAGTGCATGAAACAAGGGAACTATACATAAGCTGCTGGCGTTAAATTAGTACAACTACTTTATAAGAACAACTCTGCACTATCTACAAAAGTAGAAGATACATAATGTCTATGACAATCTAACTATCTGGTA